CTGAGACCGCATTAGAGTGAATACTATTTGCCGGTCATGGTGATGATGTGGGCCGCCATAACAGCTGATGGTCGCTCTCCGCTTGTATTAAATGCCGAATATTATCGCGAAAATATTCTGGAGGGTGTATTAAAGCCTTGAACTTCTCCGAGCCTTAAACATTTTGGCCGCAGACCTTGGACATTCCAACAGGACTCAGCTCGCGCCACACAAGAATGGTTACAAAATGAGGTTCCTCGCTTCATTTCCAGCACACAATGGCCACCAAAAATCTCCGGATCCCAATCCGTTGGACTATTGTATCTGGAGTATTTTGGAAAGCAAGGTTGGCATTAAAAAAATACCAAAATGTCGATCACCTCAAGCAAGCGCTTCGCCGGGAATGGGCCATAATACCGCAGAGCAACATTCGGGCAGTGTGTGACGATTTCATTGGCCGTTTGAAGGCCATAATTCGTGCCAAAGGTGACCAACAATTGGAACAAATCTAAACTTATTCTAAAATTTGATGCTATTTCCGACATTTTTGCTTTCATTCAATAAAATTAAAAAAAAATGGAAAAATTATGGCGTTTGAATTTGTTGCAGTTTTTGTTCATCTCACCCTGTATAGATATTGGTATTTTACTATATTTGGTGTCATGTTTTGGTGAATGTTTTCGTATTTCTTGTTTATTGTTCAATGGAATATTTGGTTTGGTGACATTTTTCTTATCAAATACAAACCGTAATTAAAAACCAGTAAGGAAAAGTCAAAAGTCGGTCGGGCCCGACTATATGATACCCTACACCACTATGCATTTTTAGTAGAGCTCCCGTAACAAAATAATCCGGAATTTATTTAAAGTAGATCATGCCATCTATCAACATTTGTCTTTAGATCAATTATAGTTTTGCCTTTGGAGGGAACTAATATATGGGAGGTATATCCAATTCTGAATCGATTATCACTAAATTTGACAGAGATATTTTTATATTTTATACCAAATATTAATCAAATATTTTACCACCAAATGGGAACGTACGTTCCGGAATACACACCATTTGGTCTAAGATATTAGCTTTTATTTGCACAATAAACCTGAAATCGGATCAAGGATATATATGGGAGCTATAACCAAATCTTAGCCGATCTCGATAAGATTTAGCACAGGTATTTCCGAGTTGTATAAGATATCTGGTAAAAAACATCATTGCCGTCGAATGGATATTTCGAATGTGAGGGACTTTAGCACCAAATCGGATGAAACATATATATGGTAGCTATAGCTATATCTGAAGCGATTTTAACCAGATTTAATGTATTTGCTTCTAGACTGAATTCGGTAGGATGTAGCAAAATTCGGATCATTTAGACTGATATTGGCCACTTGGTGCACAATTAACCCGGAATCGGATGAAGGATATATATGGGAGCTATATCCAAATCTTAGCCGATCACGATAAAATTAGGCAAAGGTATTTCCGAGCTGTATGAGATATCTGGTACCAAAAATCGTTGTTGTCGAATGTATATTACGAATGTGGGGGACTTTAGCACCAAATCGGATGAGACATATATATGGAAGCTATAGCTATATCTGAAGCGGTTTTCACCAAATTTGGCATACTAGCTTCTAGACTGAATTTGGTCGTAAGTGCCAAATTCTATTTCATTTGGGCTAATATAACACATTTGGTGCCCAACAAAAGGCAAATCGGACGAAGATATATATGGGAGCTATATCCAAATCTATACCGATCTCGATAAAATCTAGCCAAGGTATTTCTGAGCTGTATTTGTTATAATTCCCCAAATATCGTTGTTACGACTTATATATTACGGCTACAGAGGACAAAAATAACAAATCGGATGAACAATATATATGGGAGCTATAGTTATATCTGAACCGATTTCGATGAAATTTGGCATACTTATTTTCAAGTCTAATTTGGTCGTACGTTCAAAATTTTATACTATTTGGCCTGATATTATACGTTTGGTGCACAATAAAAAGCAAATCGGACGAAGATATATATGGGAGCTATATCTAAATTATGCATGATTATGTCGTTCGTCCTTGGGTCAAACAAATGATTTGTGCAAAATTTCATCTTGATCGGACAGTAGATGCGACCTGCATTTTGTTTACAAAAATACATGGACAGACGGACGGTTGAACGGATATGCATAAATCGACTCAGAATTTGATTCTATGCAGATCATCCAACGGAAGTATGGGTCTATCTCAGCCCCGTAGAGTGAAACAGGGAGTTCTCCAAGGAACTATTTAATCTCTACCTTTCCGGAATTCCGCACCCTCCAGGCGGAATCGAGATCATAACATATTCGGATGACTGTACGATCATGGCGTCGGGTCCTGTAGTTGATGACACATGTGTCAGAGTGAACAACTATCTCGCGGAGCTTGCCGCCTTCTTCCATGCGAGGAATATGAAAATATCCGTCACTAAATCAACAGCCAGACTTTTTACCACATGGCCAGCGGAGATGAGAACGCAGCGGAATGTGCGCGGGGCACATAATTCTGACCACCAACTACCCCAATATACTTGGGGTCACATTCGACAGAGCATGCTCAAGTCTTCTGCGCAAACCACAGCTATCTGCGATAAAATTAAAAGTAGGAACAAGGACCTCAAGGCGCTAGCCGGTATTACTTGGGGTGCGGATAAAGAAACCTTGTTAATCTCTTATAAAGCAATAGGTGAGTCTGTGGTTAGCTATGCAGCTCCAGTGTGGTCTGCGAATACGAGTGCAACGCAGTGGAAAAGTATTCAGACCTGCCAGAATGACGACCTGAGAACTGCAACAGGGTGCCTCCTCATGACTTCTGTAGACCATTTGCATGAGGAGACGAAGACAGCATAATCATATGCTTTCGTTGCAGTATCTACTTGGCCGTTATCGTGGGAGTCATCCTAACCAGGATATGGTGGACAAAACTCCCCCACCCAGGCGTGTCAGGAAGGACCTGCATGATCTAGAGAGAGAGAGAGAGGTCCAGCAATATAAGAGAGCGCCCCTAGATCATGAAGCCTATCAAGCGGGCCTGAATAGCATTCATACTGATGCAGTCGCAAAGGTAGTAAATAATTACAGTATGAATGCCATCCTCGGAGTCCACCCCCCCCCCCATCCATTGCAGCTGAAGAACGTCGGCAGCCTAGGCAAACCAGGGTAGTTTTGGCCCAACTACGTTTAGGATGGTGCAGCCGTCTCAATTCGTATTGGCCACGAATTGACGACGATGTGCGGAACGCCTGTCCAGCGTGCGATACAGGGCCGCACAATACGCTGCATCTGTTTAATTGTCCAGTCAAGCCTACCCAACTCCGTCCAGAGGATCTCTGGCTACAGGAAGGACCTGCATGACCTAGAGAAAGAGAGAGGGGTCCAGCGTTATAGGAGAGCGCCCCTAGATCATGAAGCCTATCAAGCGCATCTGAATAGCATTCAAACTGATGCAGTCGCAGAGGTAGTTAATAATTACAGTATGAATGCCATCCTCGAAGTCAACCCCCCATCCATTGCAGCTGAAGAACGTCTGCTACCTAGGCAAACCAGGGTGGTTTTGGCCCAACTACGTTCAATATGGTGCAGCCGTCTCAATTCGTATCAAGGCGCTAGCCGGCAGCACTTGGGGTGCGGATAAAGAAACCTTGCTGATCCCTTATAAAGCAATAGGTCGGTCTGTGGTTAGCTATGCAGCTCCAGTGTGGTCTGCAAATACGAGTGCAACGCAGTGGAAAAGTATTCAGACCTGCCAGAATGACGACCTGAGAACTGCAACAGGGTGCCTCCTCATGACTCCTGTGAGGAGTACATGAGGAGACGAAGTCAGCATAATCATATGCTTTCGTTGCAGTACATACTTGTCCGTTATCGTGGGAGTCATCCTAACCACCATATGGTGGACAGAACTCCCTCATCCAGGCGTGTCAGGAAGGACCTGCATGATGCAGAGAGAGAGAGAGGTCCAGCAATATAAGAGAGCGCCCCTAGATCATGAAGCCTATCAAGCGGGTCTGAATAGCATTCATACTGATGCAGTCGCAGAGGTAGTTAACAATTACAGTATGAATGCCATCCTCGGAGTACACCCCCCCCCCCCCCCTCCATTGCAGCTGAAGAATGTCGGCTGCCTAGGCAAACCAGGGTAGTTTTGGCTCAACTACGTTCAGGATGGTGCAGCCGTCTCAATTCGTATTGGCCATGAATTGACGAAGATGTGCGGAACGCCTGTCCAGCGTGCGATACAGGGCCGCACAATACGCTGCATCTGTTTAATTGTCCAGTCAAGCCTACCCAACTCCATCCAGAGGATCTCTGGCTACAGGAAGGACCTGCATGACCTAGAGAAAGAGAGAGGGGTCCAGCGTTATAACAGGCCCCCCTAGATCATGAAGCCTATCAAGCGGGTCTGAATAGCATTCAAACTGATGCAGTCGCAGAGGTAGTTAATAATTACAGTATGAATGCCATCCTCGGAGTCAACCCCCCATTCATTGCAGCTGAAGAACGTCTGCTGCCTAGGCAAACCAGGGTGGTTTTGGCCCAACTACGTTCAATATGGTGCAGCCGTCTCAATTCGTATTGGGCACAAATTGACGAAGATGTGCCCAGCGTGCAATACAGGGCCGCACAATGCGCTGCATCTATTTAATTGTCCAGTCAAGCCTACCCAACTTCGTCCAGAGGATCTCTGGCTACAGCCCATAAAGGTAGCAGAATTCCTAAACCGGGAGAAATAAAAATAAATAAACAACGGAGCATGTTAACACTGCTACAATAACATGGGTCCATCTCGTTTCCTTCAGCCTGTTACAAACAAATGCACAAAGACATAATACCCTGACCAACTTGTGGTGTAGGGTATAGCAAAAAAAAAAAAAAAAAAAAAAAAAAAAAAAAAAAAAAACACCCAATACTCTTGTGATGTAGGCTATAAAGTTGATGTTTTCGTTTGGTCCTTAAATAAATTCAAAAAAAATATAAATTCTTAGTTTAAAAAAATCGCATACGCTTTCTTTCATTTCAGCATTTCTTCCTTTACATACAATATATGTAATAGATGATTTTGGTATTTAATAATATTAACTGAAAAAAAAATAATAAAAATACACTAAAACAACTATTCATCAGCGTACGTGGTAGTAGTAACGTTATGTTTTAAATTAAGGCTTAACTTACATTAGCTACAATCGAATAGAATTATGATTAAAAAAAAGGACTACTTAAAAGAGTCTAAACATAATTGCATTAGATTGACGCGCCAGTCAATCGATCAAAAAAAAACAAACGAAATAATAATAGAATAACAGAGCAGAAGGCATAGAGGGGAAAAGGAATGAAAACAAAAAAAGAACAAAAAACCAAACACAACATAACAAAAAAAATTAAATTAAAGCAAAGACAAATTATTTAAAGGAAAAATAGCCAATTTCAGTGATCATGGGAATACAAACAAACATATTTGTTTGCCATATTTTTTTTTAGCGTTGGAGTTGTTGTTCCTTTTCGTTTGTTTCTTTTTTTTTTTTTGAAATCTATAAATTAGCTTAGTTTAGAGCATCACCCAGAGTTTCCTTAAGTGATTCAAATATCTGCAATTGTTGTTCTGGTTTCAGGTTGTAAATCTAGAAAGAAAACACAATATTACAATTGAAAAAATAGCAATAATTAATAAAATTGCCAAGACATTACCTGTGTTAGCAATTTAGCTGGCGATGGAGTTCTTATGAAACTAGATATATAGACATTCACAAAGGTGGCCATCAAAAATTGACAATCGAAACGATCCATAATGCCACCATGACCGGGAATCATATCGCCAAAATCCTAGTGAGATCAATCAATGAAACACAAACGTTCATTAGATGACAAACGAGAGTTAAAGTTTGAACCGCCTTACCTTAATTTTAAATGCCCTCTTAAAACCAGAGGCAAAGAAACCGCCAAATGGACCAATTATGGAACTGAACAAACTTAACGAGATTGAATGCCATACAAATGGTATCATTTTTATGGATTTTCCAATGCCAAACTGTAGGGAGTTAAGACCGAAAAGATTTCATTATTTTCCACACGAACAGACATAAACAACACATAAAAGGTAATATAATGGTGTGGCCCAAAACAAAAAATAAAATAAACTAAAAACAAGTTAAAAAGTATCAGTCGGTTTTTCCGACAGATATATACCCTCAGCGAATGTTCGATTATTTAAAAATATTTTGACATCTGTTATGAATTTTCAAATCTTGACCCTCTATAGAGAGTGTTTTGAAAGAATGGGTTAATATTGTCCATTTCATATCGGACCTAAATAAATATGATATAAATATTATTATGCATATATAAGAGAATCCAACATTTATATCCAATTTATGGGAAATCTTAAATTCCATATTCATCTTAGGATTCTGGTTGAGAGACATATATTTAAATATAGCAAGTTGTAAAGAATCGCTGAGTTGTTTCGCAATTTATGACAGATAAAAGTATTAAAAATTGTGTCCCTTTGTGGGTGAGGTACCTGAAGGGATTCGCAGATATATAGCATCTTTACAACATATCTTGTGTTATAAAAAATGTTTGTATGTGAGATTTGAAGAGAGTTGTATTCTTATTTCGCTTTCTTTGCGCGTTTTGTTTTTCAAAACCTTGAACACGACATAGAGCAGGTAGCAAACCATCTTTATAACAGGTCTTGTGTTGATAGAAATATTTTAAATGTAAAATGTTTGGAGGGGAATCGGATGTTGATTCCGCTTTTTCGGTCCAGAAGGAGTGGACCGATATACCAGACCTTGGGTTAATATACATATTAGGATGTGTGAATTTTTAAGACAATCGGACTCTTACATCACATTTTATGAGAGATGTAATTATTTAAAATTTTGACCCTTTGTGGGGGAGGTACCAGAAGGAGTGGACCGATATTGTCCATTTTCACACCTGACCTAGCAATGACGCATATATTAGGATTTGCAAAGTTGGAGCATAATCGGATTATCGTTTCTCTATCTGTGCAAAAAATATATATTTTTTTGAAAATTTCGGCCTTTTGTGGGGGAGATACCAGAAGGAGTGGACCAATATTGCCCATCTCCGAACTCGACCTAAGTTTGACAAAAATATTACGATGTACCAAGTTTGGACCAAATCGGATCCTCCCTTCGAGAGTTATTGTGCGACCCAGCCGGACAAACAGACATCGCCAGATCGACTCCAAATATTCTGAAACGGATTTGGTCCAAAGAGGGTCTAAAAGGGTCCAAAAGGGTCTAAAACCGTTATTTCGACTAGACACGTTTTGACCGTATCAAATGATATACACCCTCTCTAGACATATGGTCAAGGGTATAACATGGTAAAAAGTATACATCTGTTTTGCCGACAGATGAACAGGGTGAGATGAAAACACTGAAACCAACTTCAGACTGCTGTCATTTCTAAGCCACTCGTCCGACAGCTCGACGTCAAGGAAGTGAACGGAGGAAAACAGCAGAAATGGTTCGAGAAGTAAAGAAGCGACTCGATCGAAACCCGCGTCGCAGTGGCCGAAAAATGGCTCGTGAGCTGAACATATCGCAGTATTCCATTCGGCAAATATTGAAAAAATGAGCTCGGGGTAAAGCCATTGAAATTCCAAAAAGTGCAAGAACTTAACCGCAACGGAAAGAAAATAGACTCAAAAGAGCTAAAGTGTTGCTACGCTTGGCCTGGCCGAAAGTGGGGAAGAACTGCCGAATTTGCTTTTCTCCGTCTCCGATGAGAAAACATTCGTTGTCCAGCAGTATGTAAAGAAACAAAATGGTCTTGTTTACTTGCCAAGGAGGTCAGCTGAAAATGTGCACCTTCGGTTGGCCACCAGAACTCAAGCGGCGGCGATGGTGATGGTTTGGGCCGCCATAACAGCCCATGGTCGCACTCCGTGGTATAAGAATAAATGCCGAATACTATCGCAAAAATATTCTGGAGGGTGTATTAAAGCCTTGGGCTTGCAAAAATTTTGGCCACAGACCTTGGACATTCGAACAGGACTCAGCACCATCGCACTCAGCACGCGCCACCCAAGAATGGTTCCAAAATGAGGTTCCTCGCTTCATTTCCAGCGCACAAAGGCCGGGTACCAATCCGTTGCACTATTGTGTCTGGAGTATTTTGGAAAGCAAGGTTGGCATTAAAAAATACCAAGGTGCTGGGAATGTTCCAAAATACCGCAGAGCAACATTCTGTCAGCGTGTCACGGTTTCATTGGCCGTTTAAAGGCCATAATTCGTGCCAAAGGTTACCAATTCGAAAAAATCTAAACTTGTTCTAAAATTTTATGTTATTTCCGAAATTTTTTGCATTCATTCAAAAAAAAAATTAAAAAACAAAATGTAAAAATTATGGCGCCTGACTTTGTTGCAGTTTTTATTATCTCACCCTCTATAAGCCATCAATTCCTTTTACATATAGATTGTAACTATTTTGCTATATATCAGATATCTCGGCTATCAGCATCGCTGTAATAATCAGAAGTGACCTTTTGATGAATTTGTGATTTCGCCGGGATAGAAATATTCGCGGTTTAGTGGAATTTTTCGTATTTTTAACATTAAAGTTACGTTTTATTTTACCCGGCCCTAAGCTCTAACTCCGAGCAACGACAAAATCAAGAATTTCTTCTGTTTTTGGTCCATTTCAACCCCTAAATATTTTGCGATCATCTCCAAAAGCAATAGGCTTCTATTTTGACCCTAAAACCACCTCCATTTTCGAATTCGTGAGAATCGTGCCATAATTGCGACCTGTGGCTCGATTACAGATGGACAGACGGACGGACATACATAGCTAGATCGACTCAGCTCGACGACATAGGAAGATGCATACAAAGTTTTCTATGTGGGGGACCAATATTTCGAGGTGTTACACAAATTTTGATCCAATCAATCTTATAACACCCCCAACACATAGTGTTGTAGGGCATAAAAAATTGGTTCCTTGATTTGTTTTAGGCAGTTACGGAAAAAATAGCACTCTTCTATTATAGAAAAAATAAGATGAAAAAAAAAACTTACCACACTCAGGCTATACTCCTGTGGCGTAAACAAATAACTTGGCTCACAGCTCATCGACATGCTGCCCAATTCTTCGGAATAGACAATGGGACAAACGAAATATTGATAATGACACAAAATGTATGATATAATGATGCCGAAAATGACTGTCGCAAAACCACCGCCAATAAAGCCTTCCCAGGTCTTTTTGGGACTCAATTTAATCAGCGGTGTCTTGCCGAAGAAGAAACCGAACATATAGGCCATCACATCGTTGCACACAATCATCGATACCGGCACAATAAACCAAATTAATCCTGCAACGAAAGGAAAAGCATTAAAAGTGATAAGTATAAGTAGGTATTTGTACGATCATATAGGCTAAGGGTCAATAAAATGTTGTTTTAACTGAAATTGAAAAAAAAAAATTGGATCGGCTGCCTACAGCCTGTGGCAGATATCAAAGTTACCTGTTACTGGAAAAGCATACCACCTTTTGTCGGTGTTTAGTTTAGGGACTAAGGATATGGAAAAGCTGATTATATCCATTTATACGAAGGCGGCTTGCCTAGCCATGATATCCTGTGAGCGATAAAGAGATATAGGACTGTAGTCGGGACTAGAGTTCAGATATCCGATACTACAGTGGCCGGTTAATGTGCCCACCACGATTCTAGGATCAGACCGACTAATTGAAGGAAGCGAGCAGATTACCTTTTGTCGGTGTTTAGTGGAAGGACTAAGGATATGGAAAAGCTGATATCCATTTATACGAAGGCGACTTGCTTAGTCATGATATCCTGTGAGTGATAAAGAGATATAGGACTGTAGTCGGGACTAGAGTTCAGATATCCAATAATGCAGTGGCCAGTTAATGAAGGAAGCGAGCAGATTATTTTTCTCGAGATTGCCGACAAGATTACCCAGATGCCTTGTCATCAGTTTTCCTGGTGCCATATTCTGCCAGTTTCTTCGATGAGAGCCTTTTTCAATCGGCTGACATAATAGCCAATAGGCGATTTAAGAGATTGGTAGATCAATCGACTGGTAATCTTCTCGAGCTAATTCGACAGCCATTTCATACCCCACTGTAATGTTGTGTCCTGGGACCAAACAATTCACGTATTTCAGGGAGGGCTTTCTTGAAGGCAAGAATGACTCTCGATTTAATGTCACTTGTCTAGATGGCTTGGAGGGCCCCCTCACAATCGACATATATAGTCACTGGCCCTCTTATGCTATTACAAAGTTCTCTTTCCATTTCGGCTGCCTTCTTGATTGCCAAGATCTCCTACTGAAAAACAATGCGGTTTTCATTAAGCTTGGAAACATCTGGTATGGTCAGATGTACAGACGAGGATCAGACAGTCCAGACGAGGTTCACCAGCTGTCCAATCGTCCCTATCTGGTATTGTTCCGTCAACGACGTTGAAGTTAAAAAAATGTGAACATGTGATCACGAAGTGCATCACCTTAACGTCAAATATTTCGACTTGTTGATATGTGGAGGTTCGCAGAGCATGACTAAATTGCATACAAACCTTTTTGCAAACGCAAGATCTGATATATATTTGCGAACCTTCTTGATCGAAGCCCATGTCGCTGTGGCCGAAAAATGCCTCGTGAGCCGAACATATCGCAATATTCCATTCGGCAAATATTGAAAAATGAGCTCGAGGTAAAGCCGTTGAAATTCCAAAAAGTACAAGAACTTACACCGCAACGGATAATAAAAGAAAATAGACTCAAAAGAGCTAAACAGTTGCTTCGCTTGGCCTGGCCGAAAATGATGAACTGCCGAATTTGGTTTTCTTCGATGAGAAAACATTCGTTGTACAGCAGTTTGTAAAGAAACAAAATGATCTGGTTTACTTGCCAAGGAGGTCAGCTGAAAATGTGCACCTTCGGTTGGCCACCAGAAATCAAGCGCGGGCCGGTCATGGTGATGGTGTGGGCTGCCATAACAACCGATGGTCGTTCTCCGCTCGTATTAATCGACCGTGGCATCAGAATAAATACCGAATATTATCGCAAAAATATTCTGGAGGGTGTATTAAAGCCTTGGGCTTCAAAATCTCCGGATACCAATCCGTTGGACTATTCTGTGTCTGGAGTATTTTGGAAAGCAAGGTTGGCACAAAAAAAAATACCAAAATGTCGATCACCTCAAGCAAGCGCTTCGCCGGGAATGGAACAAAATACCGCAGAGCAACATTCGGACAGCGTGGGATGGTTTCATTGGCCATTTGAAGGCCATAATTCGTGCCAAAGGTGACCAATTCGAACAAATCCAATAAAATTGAAAAAAAAAAAATTAAAAATTATGGCGTTTGACTCCGTTGCAGTTTTTGTTCAACTCACCCTGTAAGCTAAATAATATAACATTTACAACTTACCCTCGAAGATATTCTGTATAATCAAATAACTTTGGGTGACAACAATCAACAGCGATACATGAGTCCAGGCAAACAGACTGAATTGTTTCATGTAGTACTTCTTGACCAGCGACAGAACAAACCAAACGAAACCAATGCAATACAGGGCAAAGGAAAGGAAACGATGATAGGTGACCATAAATTTCAAATATTCCTAAAATTAAAACAGATAATGGACAATTAGCAATGATAACGAGGCTAATTTATGGTGGAGATATTGTAAAAATTGTAAAAAGTACACAACACATACCACTCGATTAATGGCCACACCGAAATAATCCACCAGATTTTCGCCATAGAAAAAGTAATTGGAAGTCAATAGGAAATACCATGATAAACTACGGAACCATGGCAGACCATGGATGCGATAGACTTGATAGCCAATGGAAATGATTTCCTGGAAACATTTAACCTGGACCAATAGGGTCTGTAAAAAAATTAGAGAGAGAGAGAGAGAGAGAGATTTAATAAATTGTCTCTGCATGGGTATTTCCATCCATACTTACCGTAATCATCAATGCCAATGGGCCACCATAAATGATTAGACAGAAACCACAAATCATAATCCAAGTGAATATGCCACGAATGACCCAATTTTTCCATCTATAACAAAATTTAATCGAGATTGTGAGAAGTGATACGGGGTTTCGAAACAAACAACAACAAAAAAACAACGTACCTGTCTGGTAAATCCTTTAACGCCGAGTCGAGTATTTCTGGAGTTTTATCCGTGCCCTGTGGTAAGTTCTTGGACAATTCTTCAACAAATTTTTCTTCAGGTAATTTTTCATCTTCAGATTCAATCTAGAAAGAAATGAGATAAAAATTATTAAAAATTTGTTGAGCATATTGTATTTGCCTTAATTGCCCTGAAGGCTTTGCATACATGACACCGCATAATAATATTAAAAATAAAACAATATTAAAAATAAAACAAAAAGTATCAGTCAATTTTGCCGACAAATGTGTACCCTCAGCAAATGTTCAATTATTTAAATAAATGTTTTTATGATTATTTAAATTGTTGACCCTCAATGGAGCAGGTTTCGAAGGAATGAGCCAATACAGGTGAGAGTGCAACAAAACCAAAGGCCATAATTTTTACATTTTTTTTTTAATTTAATTGAATGAAAGCAAAAATTGTCGGATATAGCATCAAATATTAGAATACGTTTAGATTTGTTTGAATTGGTCACATTTGGCACGAATTATGGCCTTCAAACGGTCAATGAAACCGTCACACGCTGCCCGAATCGCGTCCTGAGTGCGATGGAGCTGAGTCCTGATGGAATCTCCAAGGTCTGCGGCCAAAATGTTTGAGTGCCCAAGGCTTTAATACACCCTCCAGAAAATTTTCGCGATAATATTCGGCATTTATTTTGATGCCACAGTCGATTAATACGAGCGGAGAGCGACCATCGGCTGTTATGGTGGTCCACACCATCACCATGGCCGGCGCTTGAGCATAGACAAATGAAGATATAGACAACGAAATGCTCTCACCGTTTATCTTTGAAAAAATTCGGTTCAACAGATGTCGTTATATGATTTTAGGGGTTTGATTGAGAATATTGAAGTTACTCAATTCTAAAACGTTAAAAATAACAAAACTGTAGGATATTTTTAAGTAGAAAATTGTTCCATAATAAAAGATAAGTGTAAACAAAGAAAACTATCGGAATCTTCCAGTAAAATTCTTGAAAAACGATAAAATGTGTTTTCGAAGTCGAGTGGGTTGAACGCGTAAATCAGCATGTTGACTAACTGCAAAACATGACGAGAGCCACCTGGATAAAAAGACAAAACTCACTTTTCGTTGTCTATATATTCATTTGTCTACGGCTTGAGTTCTGGTGGCCAACCGAAGGTGCACATTTTCATCTGACCTCTCTGGCAAATAAACACGATCATTTTGTTTGTTTGCAAACTGCTTTACAACGAATGTTTTCTCATCGGAGACGGAGAAAAACACATTCGGCAGTTCACCACTTTCGGCCAAGCCAAGAGAAGCAACTCTTTAGCTTTTTTAAGTCTATTTTATTTTGTTGTCCGTTGCGGTGTATGTTCTTGCACTTTTTGGAGTTTCAATGACTTTACCTCGAGCTCATTTTTCAATATTTTCCGAATGGAATATTGCGATATGTTCAGCTCACGAGCAATTTTTCGGCCACTGCGACGCGGGATTCGATCAAGTCGCTTCTTTACTTTTCAAACCATTTCTGCTGATGCTGCTGTTTTTTTTTCCGTATGCTACCAGTATCACGAGCGATGGTACGAGACACAAAAGATTTATTCACATTTAAATGCTGGAGTGCTCTAACGATAGCCACTTGTGGTTTTTCAGCCAAATATAAAGAAATCACACTATCACGCTTGAATTCCATCACGAATAACTTTTTTTCTGGAAAATTCTCACCAAAATGCTTTTGTAGGCTAGTAAAGAATATAATGAGCTGTCACTGGAATAATTTTAACAGCTGTTGGACGAGTAGCTTATAAATGACAGCAGTCTGAAATTGGTTGCAGTTTTTTCATCTCACCCTGTACGACGACGTGGGCCTGCATAGGTAACTTTTGTCATAAGCCATTACAATATTCAAATGCGAAACTTGAAACAATTCCGGTGAATAATGTCGCTAAAATCATTAAAATACCGAATGTCGGGCGGCACCGTTATATAGGGCCTATACGAAGACGTGGACCTGCACAGACAATTTTCTGTCATAGGCTGTAATATCCATTACCAACTTCAAATACCAAATTTGAAACAATTCCGGTGAATAATGTAGCTAAAATCATTAAAATACCGAATATCGGGAGGTACCCTTATATGGAGGCTATACGAAGACGTGGACCTGCACAGACGATTTTCTGTCATAGGTTGTACTATCTATTACGAACATCAAATACCAAATTTTAGGTGAATTAAATCACCAAAATACAGAAAAAGGTGAGGTACCATTATATGGGGTCTATACGAAGACGTGGACCTGCACAGACAATTTTCTGTCATAGGCTATAGTCTCCGGTACGAACTTCAAATACCAAATTTGAAACAATTCCGGTGAATAATGTCGCTAAAATCATCAAAATACCGAATATCGGGCGGCACCGTTATATGGGGCCTATACGAAGGCGTGGACCTACATGACCCATTATCAATACCAAAAGTCCAGCAGAAATAATACACATTTGAGTTAAAATTTATGAACCTACTTCATTTCGTTCGGAAGCTAGAGTGATTTCCACAGACGGACGGAAATCGCTAAATCGACGAAGAATTTTATGTGATGTCGGAAGTAGCATCATATTTTAGAATAAGTTTAGATTATGGCCTTAAAACGGCCAATGAAACCGTCACACACTGTCCGAATTTTGCTCTGCGATATTTTGGCCCATTCCCGGCGAAGCGCTTGATTGAGTTGATATACTTTGTGGGGCCTAAAATGTATATTTCGAGGTGTTACAAACGGAATGACATACTTAATATACCCTCCATACTATGGTGAAGGGTATAACAAATGGCCCAGAGACAAATGTAAGTCCATGAAGGGACCTCAATCTATACCCTCCTCCATGCTATGGTGGAGGGTATAACAAATGACCCAGAGACAAATGTAAGTCCTCAGTCAAGGGACCTCAATCTATGCCTACAGTTAAAACAAACAATTTAATTTTGGAATTATGCTTAAACCAAACGTTCAAATCAGGTTATTTTATTTCTGTTCTGTTGTCATTTTTAGCAAATTCCATGATAACAACCAACGTCATGGTGGTGCGAATTATGACAATGCACTTCAAGTGATAATAACTACATACTCTTAGTTCCTATTTTCTTTCTTTTTATAGTCCAACATAGTTTGTTGAAACGGAACATGGGGCAAACGCAAATATTTTTGATTAAAAAAAATAGGGGGAATGGAAAGACAGCACGTTTTGTTTTCACCACCTTATCATGATAACATAGTAGAAGAGCAGGGGGAGAGAGGGGGAGCGAAACCTTTCAGGTGCGAAAAGACAAAAACAAAACATTTCCTCAGATATGTTTTCCAATTTTTATTTTTTATTTTTTTCATTTGTTTAGATTTGGGCCAAGCAAATCAAAGAAAGAAAATTTGAAATCAAAGTCACAATGAAATTGCTTAGCATTCAGTGCCGTGGTGTAATCGCATATAAATAAATACAACACTTGGGCGGGCATACGTGGGCCGGTCACAGCATTGCAAAAAAAACCGGCAAAGTCAGAGCCGGCATTTTAACATAACAACAAAACATGTGTTTCTTATCAACAACACAATACAAATATTTATAAATATACACCATAAGTTTTGTTTGTGTTTTTTTTAATTCTTTATTGTTTTTCGATATTTAATGCCCTTCACCATGGAATGGATGGATGGATGAATGTCTGGAGTGTATATTAATTTTTCCAGTCTTTTAGCTACCACCCCATAATCGGGAAATGAATTGGTTTTCAAAATACCTTTAAACTAATTTCTAAATAAAACCAGTATAAGGCTAAAAGTCGGGCGGGGCCCACTTTATGATACCCTACTCCACTTTGCATATTTAGCAAAGCTATCCATAACAAGTGTATGTTTTTATGGGGAATTTATGAGAATGAAATCATATCTCAAATATGACCGTTGGCAGTTATAATTTTAAGCCGAAAGGAACTAATATATGAGAGATATATGCTCCTCTGCAACGATTTCCACTAAATTTAACAGAGACATTTGTGTTTGAACAGATATTCATCAATGGACCCTTTTTGTTTTAATTTTATTGAATGAAAGCAAAAATGTCGGAAATAGCATCAAATTTTAGAATAACTTTAGATTATGCCCTTCAAACGGCCAATGAAACCGTCACACGCTGTCCGAATGTTGCTCTGCGGTATTTTGGACCATTCCCGGAGAAGCGCTTGCTTGACTTGATCGACATTTTGGTATTTTTTAGTGCCAAACTTGCCTTCCAAAATACTCCAGACACAATAGTCCAACGGATTGGTATCCGGAGATTTTGGTGGCCATTGTGCACTGGAAAAGAAGCGAGGAACACCATTTTGTAACCATTCTTGGGTGGCGCGTGCTAAATGCGATGGTGCTGAGTCCTGTTGGAATGTCCAAGGGCTTCGGCCAAAATGTTTGTATGCCCAAGGCTTTAATACACCCTCCAGAATATTTCGTTGTGTGCCCAAGGGTTTAACACATCCTCCAGAATATTTTCGCGATAATATTCACGAGCGTAGAGCGACCATCGGCTGTTATGGCGGCCCACACCATCACCATGGCCGGCCGGCGCTTGAGTTCTTGTCGACCGGCCAACCGAAGGTGCACATTTTCAGCTGACCTCCTTGGCAAGTAAACAAGATCCTTTTGTTTCTTTACAAACTGCTGGACAACGAATGTTTTATCATCGGAGACGGAGAAAAACAAATTCGACAGTTCACCACTTTCGGCCAGGCCAAGCGAAGCAACTCTTTAGATCTTTTGAGTCTATTTTCTTTCTGATGTGGTGGTGTAAGTTCTTGCATTTTTTGGAATTTCAATGGCTATAGCCCGAGCTCATTTTTCAATATTTGCCGAATGGAATGTTGCGCTATGTTCGGCTCACGAGCCATTTTTCGGCCACTGCGAAGCGGGTTTCGCTCAAGTCGCTTCTTTACTTTTCGAACCATTTCTGCTGATGTTGCTGTTTTTTTCCGTCCACTTCCTTGACGTCACCAAAAAGCTTTTGTACGCTTGTAAACAATATAATGAGCCGTCACTGGAATAGTTTTAACAGCTGTCGGGGGAGTGACT